TGGTGGTATCAGAGTGTGATATGATAAGTTCCGAGCCTTGTGCACTTGTGGGACCCGTCTCACGAGTGTACGGCGTCTGTCGCACCTCGGATTTGGGTTCTGGGGCGTGACACGATGAATCTGAAATGGTGCGCGAAAAATTTTGATATTCAGTATATACCGTTTCAATAGCAAAACCGGTAGCATGTCGGTACGGTATTGACAACTTTGGTATAAATGATAGACCTTTCATTAGTCCTTTTTGTCTTGGGGGAAATTACAAATAGGCATATTGATAATATCAAAGAATTAATTGGGAGACATTGTTCAAACATAATCCTTTGAGCTTGAAAGAAATTGTCTCATTACCTGACACCTGTGAGATAACAAAGAAGCAAAATGGAGACGGGCTCTGCTTTGATGCCTTACATTCCAAAAACACTGCACGTGATCATTTGCCAAAAATCTCAAATAGCGTGGGATTTATGAAATGGTTATTCATTCACTAAACTATAAAAATAATAATGTAAATTAGATAAAAATAAAAACAAATTAGAAAAAATGCATATAATTTCATCAATTTTTATTTCTAATAAACTGAAAGAATAAAGGAGTATAATTAATAATAGAGTTTTTATAGAGTATCTTTTCATCATAAATTTATATAAAAAATATAAAAACAAACATTTTTAAAGTTAATATTGTGAAAATAAATTTAATTAAATAATTAATAAATTAAATGTCAATATTTATTATTTTAAGGCTCTTAATCCATATATCTTAAAAAAACTCTTAATAATATATTAGTGCGTGAAGAAAATGGATGAAAGTATTTAAATAGCAAACAAATTCCTATAAAATTTTCCCTTATTTTTTTCTTTCGTTTTTGTTAGAGAAAGTTTCTCCAAGAACTTCTAGGGGTCTAATTATGCAAAACAAGAAATAGCAGAAAGGCCATAACAAAAATTATTGCTGCCTTTTAATTGATGATGAAGGCATATCTTCTATCATTTTTAGCATTAAACACCCAGCCATAAAATACACCCAGAATGGGTGAATCATGCAAATCTCCTGTTAAATGCGTCGATCGGTGTTAAATAAGCCCTTCAAGCGCATTTAGAAACAAGCCAATCCTCCAACTTACATCTGGTGGCAAATCAGCCCTTCTAACAACCATGACGTTAAATTTAACTCTTTTGCTTTCTGTTGAGGTGACATTCTAGTCCTTGAACTTAATATTCTTTGGATCTTTTAGTCTTTTAATTTATATTTGCTGTGAAAACAGCTCTTATTCTTATATTGCTAAATTTTTTAATTCTTCTAAAGCTAACGCTTTACAAACTTTATAGGCATATCTTTCCCATTGTAACTCATTAGTTCTATAGGGAATCATTCCTTCTTCTTCTATGATCTTAATTATAAAATTGATTTAATGATCATAGAATCTTATTAGCTTTCTTAATTCTACTCCTAGTAGCATTATTTTATTTTTAATTTATTTTTTTATGGCTTTGATACCAAAATTTTTATGAGGTTTTCGAAACCTAACTCAAACTACAAACTAATGTGTAGCTAGTATGTTAAGTTTAATAACTATAGAATCAAATCTACTAAACTGCTAGTAGAGATAGTCTTTGCTTAGCCTTTTTGAGTCTTTTTAAATCTTCGTTTAAATATGCTGCTATTAAGTATAACTTTTTGAGATTCTTGGAGAGATAATAATCATCTATATCTTCAACATTACTTATTTTTTCTAAAATGTTTATTATTTTATTTCTATAATATTTGAATTGTTGCTCATAAACCACTTTATCTACAATTACTTCTTGAATGAAGTCAATCATCTTAAAGTATTACAAATAATTTTCCAAGACAAGCTTTTCTATTCGAAATATAAGAGGTCAAGTACTATTTCCCTATTATTTATAATCTCAAGAATAATAATGTCAAAGGATAATAGGAATGTTTCTATGCCCACCTAGCTTCTGCATGATAAAAAGAATGAGTTAGAATCATACTTGAAAATCTCTTAGTCTAGCCTTTGGTCTAGCCGTTGCTTCCTTCGCTCAATCCTCAATGCCACACTCTGGCTACCACCGATATTCAAACAGGACAAGAGACCTCACTGTTAGCTAAGTATCTTTAGGGATTCTTCTCATTGTTTTCTATGATGGAAATCAAGAAGGATAGAAACACGGGAATTATCCTAAAACATGTTTTTATTCCCAAGAAGAGAAAAGGAAGGTTCCTTTCACTCTGGAAGGGTGTGTATAGATACATGGTAGAAGGCAGTGAGATAAGGTATTTGGATATTCAAATGCCCATACCTACTACAATCTGTAAGAAGCTTTTTATAGCGCTTCTTCGAATCTTTTCTTTTGTCAATGCTGACACTAAAAGTTTACATTATTGTCTGGTGATCTAGACTTACATTTTGCTTTTGCTGAAAAAGATTACATGGAATCTTGCCATTACTATTTTTGCTCTTTAGTGACATAAGAGTTTACGTCTTATTAGATTCTTCAGAGGATGATTAGATCTTCTTCATTGTCTGAGGGAGTGGTCCCTTCGTCACGTGTTGCTTCAACCTTTTCTTTTGTAGAGTCTTTTTTGTAGTAGAAACCACAGTGACTGTCATGGTTTAACAGCTTGCAAAGTCTCTTATGGACTACTTTACTAGCTAGAACCAGGTTCTCAAAGATTTCTTTTCTTTTCTACTTGATTTTGAACAGGTTTATGCTTGTCATTAATCTTGCTCTAGTGGATATCATCGAAATTTCATTAGAGAAGCCATAAGTCCATGTTTTTCTCATGTCTATCATTCTGTCAAAGGTTTGGAGCAAAACCTTGAATCCTAGAGCCCTTCTTTCCTAAATGAACTCAATTCCACAGAGAGATTCTTTGAAATCTTGAAAAATTTGATCTTCATTTGCTTTTATTTTAATCTTCTTGGATTGAATTCCAACTTGAACCATATGGTGACTAGAAAAATATTGAGACTTTTCCCATTCTGGTGTTGTAGAGTAGATCTTGACAAATACCACTCCTTGAGCTTTGGTGTCAATCTTGAAGTCCCTTGCTCCTTGGCATATAACATCTAGAAGTTCTAAAATCTCCTTATTGTCTTGTAAGAGATAGATGCAATTTATAAAGCCATAATGGAATAATTCTTTTATTGCTTTCAAGTTTGCACCCTGCATAATTAATTCTAAGATAAATCCCTTCATGGATAGGATGGCAATTCTCAATAGGCCTAACTGAATATGTCATTTTACAAACTTTGCGATATTTTAGCAAGGTTAAATGCTTAATTTGGTCCCTTAACTTTAAAAAATGAACATTTTTGGTCCCTCAACAATTTTTTGCACTTTTTTGATCCCTCAACTATACGAAATGCACTCCGTTAGTCCTTCTGTTAATTTGGGCCATTAACCCTGCTTAGGTGGCATTTTTTATATTTTTTTTTATGATGTGGAAGGCAAAACTTAAAAAAGTGATGACACGCATGCAACTTTTGCCATCTCACATGCTACCTGGCGAAAATACA